GAAACTATTAGCACCTTTCAATTGTACTTACTCCAGTAATTAACTTTTGAGTTAATTACAACAAGTATAATATTATAATTTATGATAATTATTATATAATATGAGTATACTCATGCGCTGTTTTGGGCTAAAATTAATTCTACTTATTGTAGTAGGTAATTGCGCTATAAAAGTATTAAAATACAGCTATACTCGTAAATTACAAAATATGTTAAAAATTATAGGGTGATATAGAAACATATCTCTGTTCAAAATAATTTTTAGTATTCATTATATTAATATATATATTATTTTATAATATATAATATAATATTATATTATTATTATTATATATCCTATATTAATACAACTATTAATGACCTACTGACCTACTGAATGATTAGGAACACATTAGTTATTTTATTTACATATACCCACATATATACTTGTATCAAAAATTATTTGTAATCAAATAAATTAAAATTTTAAAACTGTTTAATTAATTAAAGTTATAAATTAGTATAAAACTTGGATATACTTATATATTAGTTATAATTTATAAATTTTAATAAATAACTTAGAATAAATACTACAGTATACATTTATGATTTATGGCTTTGTTTACTGATGAAGCATTAAATATAGTACCTAACTAATAAGTATTAAATCATCAATACATTATATAAAGTATTATCAATTATCATATATAGGTATACCGTATACATAACTTATTAGTTTTATTCTTTGTATGTTATCTCATAATTTAATATTATATACCATAAAAATAACTATAAATTAAAATTGGTAATAAATAAAATGTGCCAGTACAATAGGTAATAATAATATTAATAATAGAACCACCACTATTATAGATATTTATTAAAATACAGCTAAAATATTAAAATACCATAATGCTTTCATGTTTTTATGCAGCATATTATTTGGATAATACCTWTATGTTCGATATTCAATAGACAGGAAAAAATCCCAAAGTACCTACCTTGTACCTGTCTAAAATAACTAGCATATATAGTCGCATGAAACTCACTGAGCCACTGTCTTACAATTATACAATAGTAAATTTTTGTTTAGTAGAAAAAACTTGTGTGCAGTTAGCTTAAATATTCCATTGCATTGACCTAAAATCAAACTTGAAGGTAAGGTCATTATATTATAATAATTACACGTTAAAATTTTTAAGCGAGTTATGAATTTATGATGTATTTAAAATGTTATTTTACAATTTAAAAATGTAAATATTGTAAAAAAAAATAACGTACCACTATACAAACACAGATTATGTAACCTTTAAAGTCAATGATGGATTGATAGAACGATTCACTATAAATATTAAAGATAACAAAGTAATAAAACAAAATTGGTTCTGCTGAATACAAATTTACTTTATTTAAAATGTCGATGTTTGTAAGAGGTAAACAATAGGAAATGATGTCATCT